AAGCGTGCCCTGCTCTCTCGCAACTTTCTCGGATGGCAGCACGTGTTGTCAACGGGGGGTTGACCTCCGACTTTTCCACCGAGCGACAAGCGTTTCGACACGTGTACAGGGTCGTGCGTTTTTCCCTCCTTTTCGAGGAGGTAACTAGGTAGTCGGCTGCCGTTCCAACGACGGTAAATCGTTCCCGGAATCAGCCAAGGGTAATCATCGGGGTGCGTGCATCTTTGCAGGAAACAGTCCAATTCGTCAACGACTCGACAACTACCATTCTCCATTCACTTTTCCATTCACATTCCGTTGTTTGCAAACGGAATTACGACGTTCGTTCTACCCCAGGTCTCGTTCTTTCCTCGGTCGTCGGTGGCCGTAGCCGAACGTGTCCGCAAACACGCATTTTGACAAATACTCGCGTTACCGGATCACCGGCTTAATTTACAAACGTCGGATCAGTACGGACGCGAAAGACTTGGAATTGCAATTCGAAGTGTACTCTTCGAACAACGAACGATCAAAGTTGGGCAATTTGCTGCTTAGCGCAAAGGAAGTCGGGTACACGTCGAGAGAAAAGACGATCGAGCCGATACTCGACGCTCGATAAACGTTCGATACGACAGATCTTTGGAGAAGAAAACACAAGGTTTTTCTCTCCAAGTACAGAGTAGGTACGCTCGAAACGCAAACATTCATCGTTACTCGACGATTTTCATTTAGAAATTAACGAGTCGACGAAAAACGTCTGCAACGTCAAATACGCACATATTTCTCTTCTTTTCTTTCGTCTTTAACGTTGGAACTAAATTGGAAATTATCAAAACGATCGATTTGTAATTTTCGTTGGATACTCGATAAATCGAAAACAGCGTATCAGTTTAGAGATTCGAACGATCTTTCGTAAAACGTGCAGAGAGAAGCTCGCACACCTCGTTACGCTGCAAAGCATATTTTTTATTTTTTTTTACTTTACCGTCGTGTCCGATGAAATTTTACGTTTCGACGGGTGATAGTTTCAGCGTTCCAGCGTGTCTCCTTTCTCGGAACCTGAATTTATCTTTTTCGAATATTTCAACACCGGAACGTCAAATTGCAGTAATTTGCTACCAAGTGACGATTTTCCAGTCACTGAGAGAGATATTTCGTTCGAGCGATACAACATTTCAGGTCGAGAGATAATTCGGTTCGGAGAAAGGGGTTACACCCTTAAGTTCGCAAGTAGAATTTCGTAGCGATAAAATTCGTTCAAGTCGAACAGCAACGAAGGCTACTTTCGAGCTTACAGCTTCGACGGGATCGAAATTAGGTATCAGGCTTTTCGCAAACTCGTCTCGTCGCGCCTTGCTCAACGAAAAGATTGCCAACCTCGCGAACCGATGGCGTCGATCGTTTCTTCCTGCTCCGACGTTTCGCGCTTTCACGCTTTCCGTTGAAAGTTTACTTCAGAAAATTTCGCGCGTGATCGTTCGAATTTCGCCACTGTATGGATTGCGCGCGTGCAAAGTGGATAAGGGAATAGAGAGAGAGAGAGAGAGAGAGAGAGAGAGAGA